TGATGTTTATCTTTTATGCATCTTATTTTGCTTAGTACGGTGGTAGCATTATAAGATGATCCCTTAACTAAAATTTCAAGGTATAAGTGTTCTCCCTGAGTATGCACTGTTATGACAGTTCTTCGTGCTGAGACACCATGTGATGATCAGGTGTGATAGGCTCTACGTTCACATACAACGGGTGCAAGACAGTTTTGTGCATGAAGAATACTCAGGTTAAACTTGACGAGCCTAGCATGTACAGACATGGCCTCGGAACACTGGAGACCGAAAGGTCGAACGTGAATCATATGGTAGATATGATCAACATAGAGATGTCCACCATTGATGACTACTCCATCTCACGTGATGATCGGACATGGTTTAGTTGATATGGATCACGTATCATTTAGATGACTTGAGGGATGCCAATCTAAGTGGGAGTTCTTAAGTAATATGATTAATTGAACTTAATTTATCATGAACTTAGTCCTGATAGTTTTTGCATATCTATGTTGTAGATCAATGGCCCGAGCTTCCGTTCCCTTGAATTTTAATGCGTTCCTAGAGAAAGCTAAGTTGAAAGATGATGGTAGAAACTACACGGACTGGGTCCGTAATTTGAGGATTATCCTCATTGCTGCACAGAAGAATTATGTCCTTGATGCACCGCTAGGTGAAAGGCCTGCTGCAGGAGCAGATGCTGATGTTATGAATGTCTGGCAAGCTCGATCTGATGACTACTCCATAGTTTAGTGTGCCATGCTATAGGGCTTAGAATCAGGACTTCAAAGATGTTTTGAACGTCATGGACCATATGATATGTTCTAGGAGTTGAAGTTAATATTTCAAGCAAATGCTCGAGTTGAGAGATATGAAGTCTCCAACAAGTTCTATAGCTGCAAGATGGAGGAGAACAATTCTGTCAGTGAACACATACTCAGAATGTCTGGTTATCATAATCACTTGACTCAGCTGGGAGTTAATCTTCCAGATGATTGTGTCATTGACAGAGTTCTCCAATCACTGCCACCAAGCTACAAAGGCTTCATGATGAACTATAATATGCAAGGGATGAAGAAGACTATTCACCAGTAGCGGAATAAAGTAAGAGAGGGTTGAGGAATTTGAAACTAGGTTGGCTCGGTGAAGATAATGGAATTTGATAGACCAGTTGTTGTATCAACTGTATGTCTGGTTGAGGTGGCCGAGTCGCAACTCAGAGGACACACATTCCTCACCATATTCCTCTTGAGCTAAGGTCACTTAGTCCTCGCCCAATCACTCATGGTAAGTCTTCAAGGTAGACTTTCAAAACCTTCACAGAATTGCTGACCGACACACCACAGTGACTCTTGGTGTACTCAGAACTTGACCCCTAACCTTCTGGAAGAATGACAGTCTTCAAAGGTAACAGACGTCAGATCACACAAATCAATCTCTTCAGTGATGCTCAATCACTTTGGCTCTGGGTTTTTCCTCACTTAGGATTCTTTGAAAGTCGTCGGAGGATGGGTTGCTCTCTTATGACAAGTGTCAGTTTCTCTCGGAGCAGCCAACCAACTAGTGGTTATGGGGGCGGCTATTTATAGCCAGGCGGCAACCCGACATGAATTATCATAAATGCCCTTCTCTGATTCGAACATTGTCAGGATAAGGATCTACTCGATAGCTGGCACGCGGCGCAGCAACAGTTAGAATTTGTACTCTCAAATTCATCGGGGCACTCAATTTCCTCACTTTTAGGCAGAACGCACTAGTGAACTCCTAACTCCTCAGCATTACCAAATTCATGAGCGACCAGATGAACCTCGTCACTGTCACTAGCAATTGCGTCAGTTGTCCTGGAGATTTTCAAAGGCTTCACTCGAAGCGGCTTTTGTGTATAGGTTTGAATAGGTTTGAGCATCACTTTGGAAATGTTAAATATGATTCACCTAGACCCCCTTTAACAGTACGGTTTTTCCTATGACTCAAAGAAGAAGAAAAGAAACTATGAAAACAAAGTCTTCAAGCTTTAAAGTCTTCACTCAATTTCTTCAAAGGCCATAGTTTCATCATCAATTTCTTCACTTGAAGAAATGCATTTTTAGGGGTCGTCTTCCATGTGTTAAACCAAATCTTATGGGACTCTGTCTCCTGTATACACTCACAAACTCATTAGTTCCACAACCTATTTGTCGTCAATACTCCAAAACTACTAAGGGGGCACTTGATGCACTTACAAGTTTTACTCCCATTTTGGTGAAAAGCTTTTGCCATGAGTGACTGGTGAATATCATGTCTCTGTCAATTACAATCACTATGAGTAGACCATGCAGTTTAGAGATGTTGTGTGTGAATGCTTGAGTTACTGTTTGAACAATTATTGGGTGTCTCATAGCTAAAAAGTGAGCATATTTGGTAAACCTGTCCACCACTACTAAGATGAGATTTCTTTGTGAGGGACTGGAAGCCCTTCTACAAAATCCATGTTGATGTGTGTCCAAGCAAAGTCAGGGACATACAGTGGTTGTAGCAGTCCAGGATAAGGGTTATGTTGAGCTTTGTACAGTTGACAGTCAGGGCATTGTGCACAAATGTTTTCACCTCTTATCTCATTCCTGGCCATGTGAACAAGATTTTTAATCTATGGTAAGTAGCTCTTTCTCGAGAATGCTCTCCAAGTTTAGAAGTGTTGAATGAAGTGAGGAGGGATTTTCTGAGGTCAGTATGTGTGCCAACCACAATTTTTCCTTTGTACCTAAGAACTCCACTTGTTAAGGTGTATGGAGGATGTCCTGTTGGAGCAATGGCCAGTTGAGCAGTGAGATCAGAGCATCTTTGATCCTCTTTATACCTCTTGACTACTTCAGTGATCCAAATTGGAATGGCAACACTGGAAGTTAGTGCAGTGATAGCATACTTTACTCTAGAGAGTGCATTAGCAACTTTGTTCTCTTTCCCTTTTGTGTACTCAACTCTGAATTTGTACCCCAACAGTTTAACGAGAAGTTTGTGTTGTATTCCCTCTGTGAGTTTCTGCTCTTGAATGTGTTTAAGGCTTTGCTGATCAGTTCTAATTATGATTGACGAGGAAGCAAAGTAATGTTTCCATTTCTTTATGTCCTCAATGATTGCAATACTTCCTTATCATAGGTGGACTACCCAGCAGCCTTTGGGCAAATACATTTGCTTAAAAAGGAGATTTGTTGTCCTCTCTGCATCAAGATAGCTCCAATGCCATAACCAAAAGCATGAGCTTCTAGGAAAAAAGGAATAAAGAAGCCAGGCATTGCTAACACTGGTGCAGTGGTCATGTGAGTTTTAAGCTGCTGGAAGGCATCTTCTTATGCTGCTTCCCATTTAAAGCCACCTTCTTTTAGAGCTTCAAAGAGTGGCTTGCAGGTAATTCCATAATTCCTAATAAATCTTCTGTAGTAGCCAGCAAGCCTCAAGAAACTCCTCAAGCGAGTTACATTTTCTAGAGTAGGCCACTGCACTATTGCTTCAACTTTAGCTAGATTTGTTGAACTCCCTCAGCAGTGATAACATATTCCAAGCACTCCACTTTGTTCTGGGCAAAAGTGCATTTGGGAATTTTTGCATATAATTGATGTTTCCTTAAGGAAGCAAAAAACTAACTGCAAATGCTCCAAGTGCTCCAAGTAAGATTTGCTGAATATTAAGATATCATCAAAGAAAACCAAGACACAAACTCTCAGAAAGAGGACCTAGTACACAATGTGCATCAATTGTTGAAATATAGGTGGGCCATTGGCCAACCCAAATGGCATTACCAGAAATTCAAACAATCCCATGTGGCTGCTAAAAGCAGTCTTTTCAATGTCTCCTTCTTTCATTCTTATTTGATACGTCGTGGCTTGTACAACGGGCAAATTTACCGCTTGATGTGGGAAGACATTGATTTCATCAAGACAACGGTTCCTACTTTCTTCAAAGCTACGGTACAAGGTTGGTTCAATCGTTTGACATCTCCTCAAGAACAAGTTTGATTTCGCGAGGAGGTACTGTGAGGCCCAACATATTCAGCTAGCAACTATTCCTTTCTTCAATTAACGACGAACTTAAAAAGAACGTCCAATCTAATGATGCGGATTGAAGCTCCAATGATGCGGATTGAAGCTCATAACAAGATTGGACGGCTCGCATGGCTCGCCTCCGACTGAAGCGTTATTCACTTTACTGTACCGTTTCACTTGTCTTGGTGTTCATTTTCTATCGTTGTCAGCTGGGCGATATAATCCAGCTCCGTTTATTGTGATCGCATCACATTTGCTGAGAATTATCTCTACCAAAACATAAACCCTATATCTTACGATGATAATTCCAGCTTTCATGATTTACTTTCCCCAACCCTAGCTACCAAATTCTCTTCTGAATCCAGAAAAGGGCATGACAGTTATGTACACTTTGCAGTCCTTGCAAAAGCATGCCAAAAATAGTTACATTCAAATTACAGTATATGCCATTTTTGTCTGTATAGATCCCCATTCTAGTGACCGTTCTGCACAAAGATAGGTCACTTATTCCGTCATCCCCAGTCTGTACCGGACAATCTGCATCTGCTCATGTCAATCCCCAAGCCTGTATAGAGACAGAAAAAGAAGGGAACTCTCAGTGTAAAACAGCCTTCATGCATTATTGGCCAATATAAAATCCACGACCCTGACCTGAATTTTGCCGTCAGACGTTCCGACGACGAGGACGTCCCCGTCGGCGTCCACCGCCATGCACTGGACCCGGCAGCCGGCTCCGCCGGCCTGGAGGGCGCCGATTTTGATGAGCTTCTCCCTGGACCAGATCTCCACGGCGCCATTCCTGGAGCCGAGGTACACCAGGTCCGCGCTCACCACCAGCGACCGCACCTCCGCCGCCGACGGTATCGACCCAACCAGGTTGTAGTTCGAGCTGTTCCATATCTGCACCCAGCAGCGCCCAAACTGTCGTCAGAAACCCCTCACAAATACCTCGAATCGCCGGAGAAACCACACCGAGATAGACTGGTTTGTCGATCGTATTCATGTAGCAAGCACCTTGACCGACGCGCCGTCGAGCGGGGTGCTCCCGGTGTAGAGCAGCCCGTCGTGGACCTGCAGGGAGTAGACCGGGTTGGACTTGCCGAGGATCCTCTTGTTCCCGGACTGGATGACGCCCAGCGTCCCGCTGGCCAGGTCGATCTCCTGGATGCTGCCGTCGTTGCAGCCGCAGAAGAGCTTGCCGTGCACCAGCGCCATGGACCGCACGGACTTGCTCGGGTTCAGCACCTTGGGGGTGCCGCCGTTCCAGCTCAGCGTCTTCACGCCGGCGCCCTGCGGCACGAAGCAGGCCATGGCGCCCGCCACGGCCAGGTTCTGCACGGGGTCCCGCGTGTCGTACACCTCCGCGCACCGGAGGCCGTCCCGGAACTGCCACACCTGCCCATGCACGTACCAACCAACAGGTTTCATTCTGAACTTCGCACGCTGTAATTAACTTTCCTCGATCTCGCGAAGAAAGAAACATAGGATGTCGATGTTGTTACCCTGATAGTTCTGTCCATGGATCCGCTGTAGAGCTTCTCCTCCGAGGGCAGGATTGACAAGCTGGTGATTGCTTTCGTGTGCTCCTGGGATTCCTGGACGAGGCGAAGGATGTTCTCGCTTCCCTCCCACACCTGAATGGGAATTTTTCAGACTTGAAAGACTGAAACTGTATTAATGAGACCTGTAACTGTAATCATGGACATTTTGGAAGCGCAACCTTTAGTGTTCCATCGGAGTGCCCGGAGAAGATGTAGCTCTTGTAGTAAACGATCGACGTGACCTCGCCGTTCGAGCTGCAATCGGCATTGTTAAGCTCCTTGTGGTTCCACATGTCCTGCCACAAGAACAAGAAACATTCTTCAGCAAACATAAATCTTGTACTGTATCTGTATGTAATAGTACATCTTTTGTGAATTTAGAACTTTTTTTGAATTTAATCGGATTGATGGTAAACGCTGACTCTTACGATGCTAGACTCCTGACCATCTGACAGCAGCTTCAGCATCTCGAACGCGAGGCCGGACGATTTCTTGAGCTCCCTCAATGTCCTCAGCACGTCCTTGATGTACGTCGTGATGTCTTGCATGCCCTCTGAACAATGTCACAAGTTTTTGAGCATAAATCAGAGATGAGAGCAGTATTTTAATTTACAAACTTCTCGGCAGAATGATCATTGAGCAGCCAGTAACCAACCACGGTCGTTCATGAAGCTCCTCAGCGCCACCATGGCGAGGGCGCGGTCGCTGCCGTGCTTGGCGGACCTGAGGACGAGCACGAGCTGCCGGAGCAGGCAGACACGCGCGGCGCCGAGCACGCCGGTGTCCGGGAGGAGGGAGAGCATGTGGACGAGCCATGCCGCGCACACGAGGCTCGCCGCGAACAGCTCCGCGTTCTTGCTCTCCAGGCACTCGGACAGGGCCTCCAGCACCAGCCCGAACTCGTGGCTCACCAGCGCGTACGCCGTCTTCCTCTCCCACTCCGACGCCGCCTTCTCTTCCCCGGCCGCGTCGTCCTCGGCGCCGTCGGTGCCACGAACGACGCTCAGCTCCTGCGACTGCCGATACCTCTCCTTCACCCTTGCGAGCTTCAGCAGGGCGGACCGGGCGAGCGGCCGCCCGGACGACGAGAACTTTCCGGGGAAGTTCATGATGGTCTCGGCGGCGAGGAGCTGGCTCCTCGGAAAATCCGAGTTCTTGAGGCACTGCACGAGGCTGTCCATCGCCTCCTCGCGGTACATGCTTATCTTCCTCGGCTCCACCTGACAATCACATCAAATCATTCAGAAGAGCTATATATGAATCATTCCGTAAGCTAATTTGAATAAATTCTACTGTGGCCAGCTCACCAAGAGATCGAGCTGAAGAAGAAGTCCGGCGACGACGGGGCTCTGCTCCGGCGTGGTGGACTGCAGATACACGAGGAGCGTGTGCATCATGCTGAAGGAGCTCCCCTCTTTGATCGCCCGAAGCACACGTTCCGCGGCCGATCGCCTGCAGTTCGAATAACGGTTATGCATGGGGTCCACAAGTCAGCACTTAGAAAGCGTGGGAGGAATGTGGAATTTGATTTCGTTACTTTTTCAGCTTCAGAAGCTCGGAGAGGAACCGCACGATTTCGAACTTGTCGGCGTCGCCGACGACGTGGAAGGCGTCTAGGACGGCGCCCACCGCCAGCTTCTCCACGATGCTGCTCCGGCAGTGGCCGTCTTCCGCGATGCATCGCATCAGGATCCTCATTGCGGCCACCCTCACCTCGACCTGTTCGGCCTCTAAGACCAGCGCCGTGCTCCTCACGAATCTCTCAGACACAAGAGCGGACCTCGGCACCGGCGGCGTGCTCTCCCGGCCGACGCCTGATTCTGTGAGAATCTGGCTCAGGAGGATCACTGACGCGGACTTGGGCTTGACGCACATGTTGAGCGCGTCTGCCTCATCGGCTCGCCGGATGGTGGCCACCAGCGCTTCGCCCATGTCCATCTCGACAAGCTGCTCTACGGAAGGAGAGAGGAGAAAGATGAGCACGACGGCCTCGACGAGCCCTTTCTTGAACAGGGCGACCAGGCAGTCCACGTCGGTGTCCACCCGCGTGAGCGTCTGCACGACGCCGTCGTCGCGGGAGGCGAGCTCGGCGAGGAGGAAGACGGCCACCTGCAGCACCTGCGCGCTGACGGAGTTGAAGAGGATCTCCACGAAGCCGTTGATGACGGCGGGCTTGGCCAGCGCGGAGAAGAAGGCCTGCTCGGCGGCGCCGGCCTCGCGCCAGAGCCGCTCGATCCTGAGCACCGACTTCTCCGACTCGGCCAGCTCCTCGGACGTGCAGAGGCAGGACACCGCGGCGCGGAGCTCGCCGACGGCGCTCTCCACGGTGGCCTGCACGATGACGCTGGTCGGCGACGGCGCGCTCGCCTGGCTGCCGGTGGCGTCCGGGGACGGCGAGTTGATCTTGAACGCGGGGGCCGGGCTTTCCATCCTCGCGGCGGGTGTTCTCGGCACCGCGGGCGTGGCAGGCGTGGGGGGCGTGATGGGCGTGGCGGGCGGGCTCTGCTCGCGCCAGCCGGCGATGAGGCGCTTGAGGACGTAGTTGGTCTTGGGGAGGCTGCCGCCGTGGAGGTGCTGGCGCGTGATGGGGCAGGTGGCGTTGCCGCGGTCGAGCCACTCCTGTATGGCGCGGCGCTCGTACGTCTGGCCGGTCTCGAGCGTGACGGGGTCGTCGAACACCTGGCTGGTGATCGGGCACACGAAGTCCTTGGGCGTCGTCGCCGCCTGCTGCTGCTGATGCCGCGACAGGTCCGCGTCGCCGCCCATCGGGGACCTGTATGTACTCAAATCAGCGCGTGTCTCGATCGATAACATCGGTGCAATCTAGGTTGGTGAAATGCTGTTTCTGGAAGCGATCCAAATGGTTACCTCGAGGGCTCCGGAGAGAGGCGGGCGCCATCGTCGCCGCGTGGCTGAGCTCTGCGTGGCTTGGACAGTGGGGACGCCGCAGGCTTTTCCTAGGAGACAAGCCAACAGCATTGGGAACTCAGCTTTGGAGCGATGAGAAGCAAACGAGGGTTGTGTTCTTCCATCCTCAAGTAGTAGAAACGTAATTTACATGCCTTCTTTTATTGAACCTTCTTTTAAAAAAGTTATAAGAACTCAATTTCATAATTTGAAAAGAGCCATTTGTGTAGGCTACGCTTTTGACAGTTCCCCAGTTGTCTTTCTCTATAAATCACTACCATCTGGAATTACGCTCTAAAATCACACTATTTGAAAATGTGCAATTCTAGTGAAATGGGGTGACAAATGTCATCTCCAATGCTTAGGCGTTTGTTTAGACCCTAGAGAGAGAGAAAAAACAAATTGAAAAATTACCGTAGCATTGTACTGTCCAATGCTAACACGGATAAATAAGTGCCATATGATGAATAGAAAAACTCAAATTGCAAAGGCTGTGGCTAGGTCCAAGTCCACCGAGATTTAACCAAGTCTCGGTCAAGTAACATAGCATATGCAAGAGAGAAAAAGGAAAAAAATTGAAAAAATTGCACGGATCTCAATGTAAGATCTCACAGATGTAGCATCGTTTGAGACTTCGACTTCACGAAGTCTCATTCGACTGAGACTTAGCAAGAATGAATTGCAAATCCAATCAAACATGTGGCAATTGTGAAAAAAAAAACAAAAAAAACTCAAATTGCAAATTTGTTCTATTCAACGCCGAGCCGACCAAGCATCCAAAAAAACCGGAAACCCGCTAGTTAGTTGAAGAAGCCTCGGTAGGTATTCTCGGGGAATTAGTTTTTCTGGCGTTCAGGATAAGTCCTCGCAACCAATTAATTTTGACTTGTGCGAGGAAAGGAAAAAGTCCATTTTAAACCTTGAACTTGTAGACGTTCGGCGAAACAAACCCTCAAGTCGAAATCCCGGTCGATTGCACCCTAAACTATGCAATCCCGGTCTAAATTGAACCTTCGGGTCCTTTGGATGACCGGGATCGGTGGGAATTCGCTGAGGCCGCTGCTATGCTCACCCCTGCAACCGCTGGGCCGGCCCACTTTAATTTTTTTTAGAAATAAAAAAATGCAAAGGGGACTACAGCCTGCTAGCCCGGACCGCTTTTGTTTTTTTTGTTAGAAAACAAAAAGAAGCGCACGCTCGTAATCGAGACCGATGCTGGTGGTTGGAACGACGCTACTAACCAGGGACACTACATACGTTGTGTTAACTTACTCCCTTTTTCTTCTTTCTTTTGTTTCCTTTTTCTTTCGTTTCGTTTTGTCTTTGTTTTTATTTTATTTTTTAGTTTCCTTTTTAAAAAAATCATGATTTCTTTTGAAATTGACGAACCTTTTTCCAAATTTGCATATTATTTTTTAATGCCGTAAATTTCTAATTTTTTAAAAGCTCGAGTTTTTAAAACTATATAAAATCCGTTTTACTAGGAAATAGCAAACGAAAAAAAGAACCTTGTGAACCAGAATTTAAAAAGATTTTTTTTACGAATTTTGTACAAAATGTTCATGGATTTGAAAACGTCCATGAAAAAAGATGTTTATCACAAACGTCCATGAATGTTCAATGTTTATTTGAAAATAGTTCAACATATATTACAAAAATGTTCAATGCGTATTTTCAAAAACCAATCGTTGCATATATTCATATTTGTTTTAAAAAAATTTTATCACATAATACAAATGTTCAATGCATATTCAAAAATTGTTCAACACATTTATTTATAGTTTTTCGAAAATGTTCAGTGCATAATATTCTCAAATGTTCAAAAGAAGTTTGGAGCATAATGTTTCGTGTCGTGAATCTATCAGTTGAACTCACTAGTTTGGTTGGCAAATTCCAGCAAATAACAAGATTGAGGTCGCGAGTTCGAGTCGCTCCCGTAGAACTTTTCCAGATTTTTTTTTTGCGCGCCTACTATTCAATAGCTCCAAATGGGCCGGTTCACGAATTTAAGAAAAAACAGAAAATGAAAAAGAAAGTGAAAAAAGAAAGAAAAAGAAAGGCTAAAAGGAGGAAAAAGAGAGCAAGTTAACACAACGCAAGTGGTGTCCTTGTGGTTTGTTGCTTCGATCAACAACAAATGATCTTCGGTTCGAGCCACCACCACCACGCGGTCATTTTTTCGAACGAAAAAAAAAACTAAAGCGGGCTGGTTTAGCGGGGAGCTGGGTACGCGCCCCACCACGCGCTCATTTTTTTAAACGAAAAAAAAAACTAAAGCGGGCTGGTTCAGCGGGGAGCTGGATGCGCGCCATTCGGAATTTTTATTCTTGAACGAAAAAATACTCCAGCGGGCCGGCCCATCATATGAATCCCAGTTCAAACGATGCCATGGTTTGATTTAGACCGGGATTGCATAGTTCAGAATGCAATCGACCGGGATTTCGATTTGAGGGTTCATTCCGCCGAACTCCTACGAGTTCAGGGTTTGAAATGGACTTTTTCCGCGAGGAAAATGGTTGGGGCGCCTCGTGACTCCGTTTGCTTCGATGCTAGGCAATATCATGTTTTTGATAGGAATCGCACATAGCGAGCAGGGAAACAATCCCACCGCCTGATGTTAGGGCACACGTTTGTGGATGGCCTAAGAAGATGAGGATCGTTGGATGTTTCCAAGTGACTATTTGTTCATGAATTATCTCAAATTTTATTACATCTCAGTCACACATCTTAACTAGTCCAGATTAGATATCCGAAAGTTTCCACTGCAATAATTTCCAGGATTGTAGTATGGGCCGTTCATACCACCGTCCATTTTGGTTGTTTAAATTAAGCTCCCAAAAAGGTCTTATATTCAGGAACAGAGGGAGTATTTCCAAATCCATGAATGAATACTTTTTCTAAGTCGATGATTGTGAGTGTTGGTTCGTTATTTGCAAAATTAAGTAGCTATTTTTTGCAGTTTCTGTTTCAAAAGTAGAAGGACATTTGTAAGTGTCTCAAACGACTAAGAAAATAGCAAATCAGTCATTATATTTATGGTTTGTCATATAGATATTCATCCTAGCTTTAGGTTCTCCTATACTTATTTATGTTGTTGAATTCTGTCATTCTAAACTTATTTATATGTTGATATATAGAAAATTTTGGCAAAATGGCATTACCACAATATTCAGCGAATAAAACTACAATCTAACTTACTACTGAAATTTACAAAACTAAAGCACAACACTTATCGCAAAGCTTTTTTTTCATGCAGATTGTACCATAAAAAAGTTGACTCATCTTGTATCATCTATTCTTAAATAGCTACAACCCACTACCTAATTTTTCTCTCCATGCAACAATGCCGCATCACCAAGTCATGTATGCAATCATAAGTTACTTTTTTCATTAATCTCTTCATGCAAAGCATACCACCTCATGCTTGACTTTTTTTCCAAGGAATTAAGTAATGTAAGACACTTTTATATTTGCTTTTTGCATTAACTTTAGTCTTCCTAGCCATTTTTTTACCAAGGTTACGCAACAACGCGAGGGGCATCGTCTAGTATCAAAATAGCTAGCCCCCACTAACTATTTCTCTCAATATGCAAGCATACCACATCATCGCACAAATGCATGAGAAAAGACCCACCTCCACTACCACATGTCTCTCAACATGCAAGCATACCACTTCATTATGAAACATGCATGAACAAAATACTCATCTCAACATGCAAACATACATGAGAATTTTCATTCTATTATGTTATTTATATGTAATAAACATTTTACAACTCTATAGTACTCAAACATAATAAATTATATGTATTTCTAGTTTTAGCATTTTATATTATTACTTCAAATATTCATGTTTCATAGAACGAATCACATTGAAATATGTTGGAAAATATTCCCGCAACAACGTGTGGGGTATCATCTAGTTTTTAAAACGTGCAAAACTGATTAAATCAAAACCAGGCAATTAGTTTTTACTTTTTGGCGAATGGGGTCATCACAACTCATCAGGAGCACATGCAACATATCTCCTT